GGGGGACGCGCGCCCCCCCAATGGCTGCTGCCCAGGCCTGGGCGGCCCTCCACTCCCTCTGAGCTGGCACCGAGAGCCACACCCATACCTGGTTAAAAGCTTTGCCTTCCAGCTCCCGGCCCCACTGAGTGCAGCTGCCACTCCTGCTCCCTCACTGCCACTGTCCCTTTGTCCCTGTAACCCTGACTCTGGTCTGCCCAGGCCCACAGCTGTTCTAGCTGAAACCCCAGTGGACTCGGACTGCTGACCCATTGGGTCCATTTCACCTCACTGTCAGAGCAAAGGTATGCAGGGCAGAGGCTGGGGTCCAGCCAGGCCTGGGTGAGCTGGTGCCCGGGCTCCTTGGCGCTGGAAGGGCTGCGGCCTGCACCGGGGGTCTGGGCTATCCGTGAGGACGGGGCCTCCTGCGGCCCTCGTTCTGCACTGGCACGGAGCCTTCCGGGCCACACTCTCTGGGGCAGGAGCCCAGGCAGGCCTGGTCTGTGTGAATGCGTGCCAGCGAGCAAGCGAGGGCTCTGTGGGGGACTGCTCCTTCTCCTGGCCAGTCACTCAGGAGACTCAGAGAGCCACAGTGACTAGGGCAGGGACCCTGGGAAAGAGGCCTCACACCTCCCCGGGGACGAAGTAACAGTGACAACCCCAGGGACTGGGGCCCCCCCTCTTTGCTCGTAGGACTCAGGGATGAATGTGCAAGCACTACTCAAACAGCAGGAGACACTTCTCTTGACTTAACTGAGTCCTGATCCTCACAACCAGCCGGACAGCTCCCATGAGGACTGTGACAACTAAGGGAACCCCAGAGAGGTCATGTGACTCGCTCAAAACAGCAAGTGGCAGAGTGAGAAACAAATCACCAGGGAAATGCCCTTTCTTAAGTTCCGCCTCATCGTGAAGTCAGACTGGCCCTGACTTCGAGAACAAAGATGGCGGGGCAGCCTCCTTCCCAGGTCACCAGGAGAAGCCGGACTCGGGCTCAGTCCTCGGACAAGGCTGTCCTCAGGTGTGGCCTGGAGTCCATGCACTGTCCCCACCCTATCCCTGCCAAGGCAGGAGGACACATGATGTCCTGGCCCCTTGCTCTGGGGGCCACCTGAGCTGCCCGGCTGCCGGCGGGGTACCAGCCCCGGGCTCTAGCTGAAACGACTGGACCCCGCGGGGCTCTAGGGCTGCACTCCGGTGCTGAGGCCACTCGCGTGTCTAGGCTCTGTCCCTGTCAACCTGGTCTAGCTCTGGTCCCTGCTCTCGGACCAAGGCTTGTGGTGCTTGGGCCCTACTGGCTGCTGCAAGGTGCTTCTGAGGTGGGGGAGACCTGGTTGTGGTGGCTGGGGGAGGGCGTGCAGCCTAGAGGTCTGGCCCCTCCAAGTGGGGGAAGTGAGCAGTGGGAGAGGCCAGCTCCTCCCTGCTGGTGGCTCCACCTGGGGCCCGCCAGGGTGTGAAGCAGGCCCCTCCACACTTGTCCCTGTCCTGGGTAGGCAGGGACATTAATGACTGCGGCTCCAAGGAGGAGGTGGGCTTGCGCTTGGTAAGCACACTGTCCGTTTCAGAGGGCACTCGCGGCGAGGACCTCCCTGTGAGATACTGTAATCGAGAAAGCTGGCCTTGTGCAGGGAAAGGGGTAGGGAGGGCTGGTGAGGGGCAAGGAGGGCATGTTTCGAGGCTCCAGGAGAACGACCCTCCCTCCCCACTCCTCAGCTGGCCGAGGGGCTGAGATACGTGCCTGTCACAGGACAGACCCAGGTCATGGCAGCCCAGGTGCACAGAGCCCCTCCTTATGGGGTACTGACAGTGCTGAGTCCTGCCATGAGACACACAGTGACAGTGAGAGAGCACAGGTGAGAGACAGGGGAGGGAGGTACAGGTGAGAGACAAGCGATGGCGTGCAGGTAAGAGGGCTGCAGGTCAGAGGTAGGGTGTACAGGAGAGAAGTGAGGGGCACAGGTCAGAGATGAGTTGGGTGTAGATGAGACAGGTGAGGGGTGTAGGTGAGAGGTGAAAGGGTGCAGGTGAGACAGGTGAGGGGCACAGGTGAGACGTGCTGGGGGTGTAAGTAAGAGACAGGTGAGAGATGAGGGCCAAGTGAGAGGCAGGTGGGGGGACGCAGGTGAGACAGGCGGAGGGGTGCAGGCCAACTGAGCCGTGCCTGCCCTCCAGGGACATCTCTGCTCTGCTTGCCTCCCCACTGCCACACCACCATGGATTCAGGCGGGCGGGCACCAATGAACGATGGCTGAATGCATGAGTGTCCGGCCCCAGGCACACAGTCTGAAGAACTCCAGCCAGGGGCTGACGCTGGAGCAGGTGACACACTCTTAGATTAACAGCAGCCTTGGGGTGCCAAAGCTCTCAGCCGGAACTGGACCGTGTCTCGAGCCTGGGGGTCCTGGAGGAGGTGAGATACTGCAGGCTACCAGCAGTGGGAGGGGCAGGGCAGGGAAGACAGAGCCCAGTGACTGGGCATCTGCTTCGCCACATACAAGGCCCTGTACCAGGGACTTCGCAACCGGCACACGCGTACCAGGAGCCCCGCTTGTGAGCTCTTACTCTAGAGAGCCGAGGCACCATCTTCACGGCCCGAGCATGTGGAAGCCATGCCAGGTTTACACCAGAGAGCCAGTGCTGACGCACCCCCAGTTAACTGTGACTGCAGGAGGAGGGAGGACGGGAGAGAACGGGGAGGCCCTGAGAGTCGGGGAGCCCTGTGCTGAGCATCCTGGCCAACTCCGTGTGGCACATGTGGGCTCTCGGCACCCACTGCCACGCTGCCTGTGCCCACCTGGTGGTACCTGGCAGAAGTGCGCCAGGAGACGGATCCGGATCGGCTCACAGGCTCTCAGGGCCCTAGAGGGCCTTGGGGGCCCCTGAGTCTGACCCAGTGTGTGGGCCGATGGCTCTCGCTGGCAGAAAGTTTTCTTCCTGACGGGCTGAGATGGTCTTGCCCAGAACCGCCCCAGTGCTGTCAGGGCCAGAGGCGGCCCTCAGTGCCAGCCTGGTGCCTGGGCAGAGGGGCTGGCCTGCACCCTCCTGGCCTCCTTTCCCTCACTCCTGCCTCCCCGGGCCTTCCCGTCCCAGCTGTGCACCTCCGGGTGGCCCCCTCTGAGGGGGCTGCGCCGAGCAGGCCGTGCGTGGGGGTCCCCCAACCTCTGGGACTCGGTTTCCTGTCGAGTGAGGACGGGTCATTTAGCCCCAGATCTCGACAGCGCCACAGGAACAAGGAGACGGGCCGAGGAGCCAGCAGCGGCTACTCTGGGATCACAGGAATGCGCTCCTCCTGCACTGGCAAGCTCTGTCCAGTAGTGTGCAGTGGCCAGGAGACCCTGAGGGCAGCTTCTTCCCAGGGAGGTCCAGCGGGTGTCGGGCTGGCACGACCCTGCAGGTTCTTGTCCGAGGCCCTCCATTTTAATTGGTGGCCTCAGGTGGGCAGAAGGTGAGTCACTGCTGCCCCACCTCTTGAGAAAGTCCTGCCCACCCGGCGCGGACCTCACCGAGGCCCTGGCACGGCAGCCCCAGCTCCTCAGGGACATAGGGGCCGGCTGCTCCCAGTCCATCTCTGTGGGAAAGGCATCCCCTGGAGGATGGAACCTGAGCTCCCGGAAGTGCCAGAGACAAAGGATCAGCACCTGCTCAATGAGGCTTGATGGAATTTCTGGCCAGCAAACGACAGCCACCTGGGCTGGGCTGGGCAGAGTCCCAAGCCCTGCTCAGTCCCTTCCCCCGCACCATCTCGGATGGAGACGGTGCAGCCTCCCCAGGGGGGTTCCCTGGCATGCCTCCCCTCTTATCCCCAGGCCCCACTTTTCCACAGCTACCCTCCCTGCTGCCCAGCTACAGGCGTCCACATGGGCGTGGAGTCTGGGACCTGGAGTAAGCCCTGGTCTGGCCACGTGGGGCCGGTTGGTGAGGGGCACACAGGAGCAAGTGGCAGAACTGGGCCGGCCCCAGTTCTGGGAGACAAACGTCCCCTAGCCCAGGGCTCTGTCCACCACAGAGCACTAGGTAGCCCTGGCCGAGTGGCCAGCTCTGCCTCCGGGTTTCAAACCAGTGGAGAAGACAGCCTCAGTAGCAGCTAGTCCATCACCTCCCCACAGTGCTGCTGGTTCAGTGGCCTGTGGCAGGAGCTCGG